GTTTTCTGTAGAGTATAGGATTGCTAACCCTACTTGCGATGGGCCCTGTAGCTAGGCAGACGGTTGCGAGTTCTGTTCGCCACGCAAGACAGATCCATGTTGCGAGTCGGATTTGAGCTGGCCATGGTCCTGCGGCGCAAGTTTCTGCCTGGTGGCGATTGGCCCTTGGAACGACTGGCGGCGGCCTCCGGAGTGATGGAGCCGTTCATGCTAGGCTCCGGCGTGATAGTACCGAAGTAGCGCCTACGTGTTGGCATGGCAGGTGGAAAGGCGACACGGCGCGCTTCTTCGGCTTGCGCTCTTTCCTCTTTTCGGCATCAGTACACCCAGAAAAAAATCCGTTCGAAACGTTCAAAAATCAAGACCAAACATTGTCAAAAAGTGCGTGAGCCCGTTTGTTGACAGTTCATGAACGGTCGTTCGTAAAATGTGACCGAAACTTTAGGGTCGGGTTCCGAACGAATAGTGTCGGTTTAAGAACATTTCGTGCTTAACCTGAGAACATAAAAATCTAAAAAAAAAAACGAGGTTTGTGTACACGCTAGACTTTCTGGACGCCTGGTAGAGATTTATTTAATTTCCCACCTTATGTTTTGTTATTGCTAGAATTCAATGTATTTTGGATATTTTGCTGAAGACAAAGAATTTATTTATTAATAGAAGTACATAAAAACATTAGAAATAATATTTTAATAAAACTTACAATTCACAACCGTCTTCTCGCGGACTCAAACCTGTGCTACCATGTGTCGAAGGCGGACGGTCTAGCAGCTGGACCACCGAGCGAATTTTTCGAGCGCGGACAATCGGGACACTAGACCTACATACATGCTTTTATGAACGATGTTGATAATTTGTCGATTTCGATAGACTTTAACGCGTCTATCGCAGTAGTGATGTAAAAAACCATCGATGAATCAAGCATCGATGATTTTTCGGCGATGTTTTTCGATGTTTTATGTTATGCCGAAATTCGCGGTTTTTGTTTTAGTTTACCGTGTTTGCAATGCCAAAGTAAGTATTATGTGAAATATATATGTATATAAATATAGTTATGGGATACACAAGTATGGGAAGGTATGAAAAACACATATCCCAATTTACATAAAATGGCGCTGCAATTTTTACCGGTAGTAGGATCGTCGGTTCCTTCTGAACGGGTCTTTTCAGCGGCATCATATGTCTTAAGCCAGAGAAGAAACAGGTTAAGACCAGACCGACTAAGCCGCATTTTATTTTTGCAAAGCATCGACAAAAAATACTTTTTTGGAAAAATTTAATTACATATTATAATTATAATAATTAACATCGGGCGTCGAGTTGCACAACATTGCAGAACATATGGTTTCAGTGCCGCACAGACAAATTCGCGGTTTTTGTTTTAGTTTACCGTGTTTGCAATGCCAAAGTAAGTATTATGTGAAATATATATGTATATAAATATAGTTATGGGATACACAAGTATGGGAAGGTATGAAAAACACATATCCCAATTTACATAAAATGGCGCTGCAATTTTTACCGGTAGTAGGATCGTCGGTTCCTTCTGAACGGGTCTTTTCAGCGGCATCATATGTCTTAAGCCAGAGAAGAAACAGGTTAAGACCAGACCGACTAAGCCGCATTTTATTTTTGCAAAGCATCGACAAAAAATACTTTTTTGGAAAAATTTAATTACATATTATAATTATAATAATTAATATTGTTTTAAAAGCATAACAAAAAGACAGCTAAGGAAGCATTTATTGTTACATTATTTTGTTTTTATTATTATTTTTGATTCTGAATGTAATGAAAAATAGTGCTAAGGAAGCATTTATTTTTATATTATTATTTTATTATATTTGATTCTCAATGTAATGAAAAGGACTGCTGAATGCTCATGAATTGATATAGTTTTAAGTTCGTTTATAAAATTGTTAACAAAACCACTCAATGAAGAAATAAAAAAGAAAAAACTAAGAAAGCTTTTATTTTTGTAGTCTTAATTCCTTCTTATTTAAATATTAAAAAATCTCAATAAAAAATTTAATAGGCTTCTACAAATTGAATTAACGAAAAATAACGGAATGGGTTGAAAACATCGATGCATCGATGTTTCTAGCCGATGTTTCACAAAACATCGATGTATCATTTTGCAAACAACGATGAAGATCGACATCGATGTTTCGACCCAAATTTACATCACTATATCGCAGCTTTTTCATGAACGGCGTTCGATATCTGAAAACATTTTTCGCAATTTGGAACCAAGTTGTTCGTCGGTAGAAATTGTTACCAACACCGTTCGATTTTCGTGAACAAACGTTCGAAATGTGAGAACTAAAAATGGAGAAAAATGTTCTTGATTTTTTTCGTTCTTTTTTTTCTGGGTGTATCAGGTTCATCGTCTGAATCTAGCATTCTGGCGGGCATTGTGCGACGGGAGCGCAAAGAACGCCTGCCAGTGTAAGATGGAGAGCTGCTTGGCTCGGTGTTCTCCTGGTTGTTCTGGGCCCACAGTCTAAGGCTGCTGCGACGTGGTGCAGTTCGGGCCGATCCGCCTGCTGCAGTGGAACGGATAGCTTTTTAGTTTAGCACACAGAACTTGATCATAGCTGGGCAGTAATTGGTCGATATATTTAAGTGTTTAGTTAATCGACACTCCATGAAAAGTGCTTAAACTTATTCAATTTTTATTTCAGAAATGGATTTATTTTCTTGGAAATCACACATCCGCAAGGCCGCGTTTCGTCCTATTTGCAACCTCAGAAACCTTCCTTATTGGGTTAAACAGTGCTTAATAATTTATTTGAGTTTTTTTAATTCACTGCATTGCACTGCAGTGCGGCCAAATTGCAAGTAAGCACGTCCTCGCTCTTTTCATTCCAGTGTTGAAAAGTCCGGTTAGAAATTTAAAAACATCGATTGTGTCACAACAGTCAGCTGATCATAGAATCAGTTTTCCCTGGAAAGGCTGAGAATCAAATTTTTTAATTTTGACCTATGGCAGCGATCACTGTGCATTGGGGAGGCGTTTCCAAGCGTTTGGCCAGTTATGCAGCAACCCGGACCCTTACTTTATGGGCCCTGTGCATCGTGTCGTTGTGCTGATACAACTTAAAAGTGTTGGCAATGACCATTTTCTAGGCAAACTGCTTCAAATTTTCTTTCAAAATTTTTAGGTACTGGTCCTGGTTCATCACTCGAGGATCAACAACGGACAAGAGTCTCTATGCAGCAACGGCAACAGCCACAGCCATCTCAATCGCCCAAGGAATCCATCGACAGATCCAACTCGCAGAACCAGGCGATCACCCACGACGGGCTCACGGACGTGGCAGATTTTCTGGCAGGGCCTGCGCATCAATGCATCGATAGCCCCGCAGAGCCAGGAGGATTCTGTAGAATTTGTTTTCGGGGTTCAAAGTTCGAGTCTTGCCCAAAAAACACACTTTATTTTTTTTTCTTTGATCATTGCTCAATATTGAGCAATATTTTTGCGTTCTGCTTTTAGAATTTGGTTAATAATAAAAAATGGAATATATTTTAATAAAAGTGGGCGTAAAATAAATTTTTTTTTTTGGTTATTATTGAGGAGAACAACATTTTTTTTATTGTGACTAGATTTGTAAAATAATATCATATAATAAAAAATGTGAGTGATCCTACCGATTTTTTTATTGGAAATCGAATTTTGTTTATTTTGACGATCATTTTCCTGAACAAATTCACAGAGCAAAACAAATCTGTAATACACTATAGATGTTTAGAATTTTGTTTTGATTTATACATTTTTTTTTTGCGCACCTATTGATCGTGGTCCTCGTTTTCCAGCTGTATATCCCATGAGCTTCCAAGAATATTGTTTTCCACGTCATCATCTTCCCAGTCGCCTGTACTTTTGAGTTCGCAAGATAGTAAGTGTATAACCTCGCTTCGGTGGTTCAGCTTTTTTTGTAATCGCCTGTTAAGGCTAACACTGGAAATAATGGGATCTGACGTATCGGTTGTTCTTTGGAACACGTATGTAAAATTTGCCAACCGGCAGCATTTTCTGGCATGGTGCAGGCGGTCGGAATTATAAATCTTGTTCCGCGACTCGGCACCCTCTTCTCCAAAGTAACCAACTGGAAGGAGTGTGTTCTGAATGATATTAGCTGAGTGTACAAGGATCTTGTGTACCGTCGCTGTCGTCGGTAACCAAGAGTACTCATCCACAATAATTTCCGCAGTTTTGTGGGAGAAACTTTAAAATTTGGTAACGTCTATTGGCAACTGGCTTGACAGACATATTAAAATAGAATAGACGGAACTTAATGTTTTTTGTCACTTAAAATAATTTTACACAATTGTAATTTACCTATCTGGCTCATTAAATATTCGTTTTCATAAAGGATTGACTCTTCAGTTCCCTTTATAAACGCTCATTTTAATGGGCTACAAAAGCAAATAGACTGTCTTATTGTTCCACAATATGATACTAAAGGCATCAATAAGTCTCAGGGCGTTACTGTAGTAGCGAAAATATACGATTCGGCAGTGAAGGGTTGCTCTGATGAGTATCCTTGCTTGTAGTTTGACTGCCCAGAGCTGCCATCAAACCCGTAGCTCAGAATTAAATCTGCTGCTAAAAAAATCCGTGCCTTGCTCTTATATTATGCTCAGAAATACTTATTCTTGCTAGGATGCAATGCGAGCTGCTGTGTGGTCGAGTAGGTTTTGTTGAGGTACCTCTGCGTTTGTCTCGGAAATTTGCAGTTCAGAGGGCCGTACATTTTTCTTCTGATCAGCTACCCCTTGTACAGCGGATATATGTGGTTTTTTTTTCACTAATAAACGACACTCCATCGTTAATCGCAACCCTGTGGATCCTTGCGATCCCGATCTCGTTACGGACCTCTGTCCGAACGAGATGATCGAACTTTACATCGACGAGGAAAGCAAGAATCCAATATCTTAGCGGTGCTCAAAGATTGTGTACTTCTGCTGGCATCTGAAGGTCGGATACACCAGAGAATCTCGTCATGAATCTGATTTCGGGCCCAGGTATGCAGAACATAGTGACCGTAAATGCATGTCCTCGGAGGTCTCAACGCAAGAAATTTGTAACGGCGCAAGTGGTCACTCGCCCAAAGCACCACTCGAGGATCAACAACGGACAAGAGTCTCTATGCAGCAACGGCAACAGCCACAGCCATCTCAATCGCCCAAGGAATCCATCGACAGATCCAACTCGCAGAACCAGGCGATCACCCACGACGGGCTCACGGACGTGGCAGATTTTCTGGCAGATTTTCTGGCAGGGCCTGCGCATCAATGCATCGATAGCCCCGCAGAGCCAGGAGGATTCTGTAGAATTTGTTTTCGGGGTTCAAAGTTCGAGTCTTGCCCAAAAAACACACTTTATTTTTTTTTCTTTGATCATTGCTCAATATTGAGCAATATTTTTGCGTTCTGTTTTTAGAATTTGGTTAATAATAAAAAATGGAATATATTTTACTAAAAGTGGGCGTAAAATAATTTTTTTTTTTTGGTTATTATTGAGGAGAACAACATTTTTTTTATTGTGACTAGATTTGTAAAATAATATCATATAATAAAAAATGTGAGTGATCCTACCGATTTTTTTATTGGAAATCGAATTTTGTTTATTTTGACGATCATTTTCCTGAACAAATTCACAGAGCAAAACAAATCTGTAATACACTATAGATGTTTAGAATTTTGTTTTGATTTATACATTTTTTTTTTGCGCACCTATTGATCGTGGTCCTCGTTTTCCAGCTGTATATCCCATGAGCTTCCAAGAATATTGTTTTCCACGTCATCATCTTCCCAGTCGCCTGTACTTTTGAGTTCGCAAGATAGTAAGTGTATAACCTCGCTTCGGTGGTTCAGCTTTTTTTGTAATCGCCTGTTAAGGCCAACACTGGAAATAATGGGATCTGACGTATCGGTTGTTCTTTGGAACACGTATGTAAAATTTGCCAACCGGCAGCATTTTCTGGCATGGTGCAGGCGGTCGGAATTATAAATCTTGTTCCGCGACTCGGCACCCTCTTCTCCAAAGTAACCAACTGGAAGGAGTGTGTTCTGAATGATATTAGCTGAGTGTACAAGGATCTTGTGTACCGTCGCTGTCGTCGGTAACCAAGAGTACTCATCCACAATAATTTCCGCAGTTTTGTGGGAGAAACTTTAAAATTTGGTAACGTCTATTGGCAACTGGCTTGACAGACATATTAAAATAGAATAGACGGAACTTAATGTTTTTTGTCACTTAAAATAATTTTACACAATTGTAATTTACCTATCTGGCTCATTAAATATTCGTTTTCATAAAGGATTGACTCTTCAGTTTCCTTTATAAACGCTCATTTTAATGGGCTACAAAAGCAAATAGACTGTCTTATTGTTCCACAATATGATACTAAAGGCATCAACAAGTCTCAGGGCGTTACTGTAGTAGCGAAAATATACGATTCGGCAGTGAAGGGTTGCTCTGATGAGTATCCTTGCTTGCAGTTTGACTGCCCAGAGCTGCCATCAAACCCGTAGCTCAGAATTAAATCTGCTGCTAAAAAATCCGTGCCTTGCTCTTATATTATGCTCAGAAATACTTATTCTTGCTAGGATGCAATGCGAGCTGCTGTGTGGTCGAGTAGGTTTTGTTGAGGTACCTCTGCCTTTGTCTCGGAAATTTGCAGTTCAGAGGGACGTACATTTTTTTTCTGATCAGCTACCCCTTGTACAGCGGATATATGTGGTTTTTTTTTTCACTAATAAACGACACTCCATCGTTAATCGCAACCCTGTGGATCCTTGCGATCCCGATCTCGTTACGGACCTCTGTCCGAACGAGATGATCGAACTTTACATCGACGAGGAAAGCAAGAATCCAATATCTTAGCGGTGCTCAAAGATTGTGTACTTCTGCTGGCATCTGAAGGTCGGATACACCAGAGAATCTCGTCATGAATCTGATTTCGGGCCCAGGTATGCAGAACATAGTGACCGTAAATGCATGTCCTCGGAGGTCTCAACGCAAGAAATTTGTAACGGCGCAAGTGGTCACTCGCCCAAAGCACCACTCGAGGATCAACAACGGACAAGAGTCTCTATGCAGCAACGGCAACAGCCACAGCCATCTCAATCGCCCAAGGAATCCATCGACAGATCCAACTCGCAGAACCAGGCGATCACCCACGACGGGCTCACGGACGTGGAGGCTAGTCCGCAGGCTTGGCAGATTTTCTGGCAGGGCCTGCGCATCAATGCATCGATAGCCCCGCAGAGCCAGGAGGATTCTGTAGAATACGAAAAATAATTTTATTTTGGTGTAAAAGAACTAGAATATTTTATGTATTTACACAGCTAGTATATGAAAATATTGACTATTCGGAATCTAAATCTGAAATCCCAATTCTCTATTTGATTGTTTCCGAGATATCCGCGTTCATATTTACTATTTTTTGAAGTTTGTGGGCGGTTTGTGGGGCTGAGTGACGAGAGCAATGTATTTCAGTTAAAATATGTAGTCTAGCATAAAAGGAGCCAGTTTTTGGCGGTTTGTGGGATGTGGCACTCTGCTGAAACAAACTTGCGCTGCGTAATAAACTCTGGAATCTGCATGCCTAATCCCAACTTTCTAGCTTTTGTAGTTTCCGAGATCAAAGCGTCCATACGGACGGGCAGACATACGGACAGACGGACATGGCTAGATCGACTCGGCTAGTGATCCTGATCAAGAATATATATACTTTGTGGGGTCGGAAACGCTTCCTTCTGCCTGTTACATACTTTCCGACGAATCTAGTATACCCTTTTACTCTACGAGTAACGGGTATAAAAATTAAAAACAGGTATGCGCGCATATTAAACTAGCCGCTAGTGCCAAAAACTTTCCTTGCCCCTTAACTATCCATACCCCACTCCGCCCTATAGACTTTATATTGGATTTGGTTGAAGGACGGATGTGTGTCATACTTTTTAGTCTAATATTTTGAATAGGAATTTACCTCCGCCCCTGGCCACATGAGAAATGCATGGTGTTTGAATTTATCAACTTAATGACATTCCACCATCTGTTTTCTTCAAGTACATTTTCGTCTGATAAAAAGTTTTTCGCCCTAAATAACTTTCTCACGGTATACCAGTTAATATGAGTATCCTAACTTTTTTATTAAATTCACCCTTGCACGTATGCCAAGTTTGTTCCAGTTTGAGCATCTTCCTCAACGCGAGTTGCTTATTAAATAAATATTTGAATTAACTTTCGGAATATCCAGCGGTTGCAGGGGTGGCAGGAAATATCAGGTAAATAAACTTTTCGTATTTAATAAAAATACTGTGCATCATACTGAGATTACTTAAACTGCCTGATAGTGTTGTTAAACGGTTGCCGTTTTAAAACCCCATACTTTAACTTAAAGTTCTACAAACTCACCGCATCTTTGTGCGACTCAATAGCTACTCGGACATTAGCTAATCAGATGTAGTTTAATCTATGAACGAAATAAAAGCAAATGCATTTGTGAGCTAAAGATGCTTTATATCTGGAGAAATCGAAAAAAAGGTGCCAATGCTTATTTACGTCTAATAAGGAAACAACTTAATCAGCATACTCTGCGGTATTGCAAAATTCCTTTTTTATTGTTTCCCCTTACGTATGGAATTGAAAAATGTACCTTGACTAGGTATTTATTCTTGCATATGTCTTCTACCTTACCTATCTGGGTACTAACAACGGAAAACGCTAAATTCAAAGGCCAAATTTAACCCATTTTTGGAATGCCAATAGATATTGACATATAAAAAATAAAAATTTATCAACTGGAAAAAGACAGAAGAATATAGGTGTTACAATCTGAAGATGAACTGAACTTTTATTTGATTTTTTGCTTGTAGAAAGAAAAACGTTGGTTGGTTCCTCTGTTGCACTATGGGGACTTTGCCCTGTTTTTTGGCATAAATGTGCTTTTCACAAGTATTTCAAATTTCGATATATTGATGTTATTGAATTAGGAACAGATCACAATGTAATGTTACATAACAGAAATGTTAATTTAACAGCCCACTGTTAAAATAACAGCTGTCAAACTCAGCTGCTGCAAGCGGAAAGCACATGTTTACGTTGGGCCTAATTGTACCCGTTACTCGTAGAGTAAAAGGGTATACTAGATTCGTCGGAAAGTATGTAACAGGCAGAAGGAAGCGTTTCCGACCCCATAAAGTATATATATTCTTGATCAGGATCACTAGCCGAGTCGATCTAGCCATGTCCGTCTGTCCGTCTGTCTGTCCGGATGAACGCTGAGATCTCGGAAACTATGAGAGTTACAATACTGGGATTAGGCACGCAGATTCCTGCGCAGCGCAAGTTTGTTTCAGTAGAGTGCCACGCCCACTCTAACGCCCCCCAACCGCCCAAAACTGTGGCTCCTACAGTTTTGATGCTAGAATAAATTTTAATTGAAATGTATTGTTCTCATCAATACCTATCGATTGACCCAAAAAAATGTTTGCCACGCCCAGTCTAACGCCCACAAACCGCGAAAGCCTGTGACGCCCACAATTTTCATGCTAGATAAAAAATTTTAACTGAAATGTATTGGTCTCGTCAATACCTATCGATTGATTTGCCACGCCCACTCTAACGCCCACAACGCTTAAATCTGTATACCGCCGGTAGCTTTGCTGCTTGCATATCTCCATTTAGCTGAGTAACGGGTATCTGATAGTCGAGGTACTCGACTATAGCGTTCTTCCTTGTTTTTTAGTGAAAAGTTAAGTAAATATCCTTTGAACGAAAGCTCGCAAATCCTTGAAATTTGAAATGAATATTCATTCCTCAGGTGTGTACTATGTGTTATAACTAACATAATGCTTATTTTGTGTGTATTTTTCTAACAATTTAATAATTTAGCGAGTGAAGTCTTCGTATAACTTTTGGAACAAAATTTCAACTTTGAAGAAAGTTTACAAAATATGTTGAAATTTATTGAGTAAGTGTCCTAGTCCGTGTTGTGGACTGATCAATTCCTATTTAATAGAATCTAGACTCAAAAGTTTACAAAAAATGTTGAAATTTATTGAGTAAGTGTCCTAGTCCGTGTTGTAGACTGATCAATTCCTATTTAAAAGAATCTAGACTCAAACTGCGCTTTTTGCGACTTTTCGCGAAAATTAAATTTGTAGGTAGCAACCTCTCGATTGGCAATGCGGCCCTGTTAGATTTTTGGCGCAAGCAAAAGTGCGGCCGTGTCAAGCAGAGTGCCGTATTCTCCTTTATTTGTCAGCACATCAACGACAGTTTCCTTAAAATTACTGAAACTCGTGTAAAGGAGAACGGAGAAAGCACGAATGTTTCTGGTAATTTTATCGGTACTATGCAAATTAAATTAGTCACTGGTAATATTTTTAAAAAAATAAATTTTATTTTTTAATTAAACTTGGTGTTAAACCTTTTTATTTCTTATCACTTATACAAGACACTTATTTATAACTTTCGAACCGATCGCGGTCTCCGACAAAATAGGACTGAATCTTAATTCTAAAAAACTCTCCAATGAACCTCGGCCAGAAGCTTTCCTTTTCTTAAGCTTCCAGAACTTTAATTTTTGTTTAAAATAAAAGCTTATGCTGAAACTGTCGCATCTCGTTGTGAAATGAAATTATGCTGACCGATGCAATTTGATTGAAAATCGGAACGCAATATGTTCTGAACTTAGAACGCAATACTGTGGGCTTTGAACGGAAAAGTTTGGGCTTCGAACGGAAGCTTGTGTTTACTTTACGATTGGTTTATTTATCTTAGCAGGACGGTCAAGCGCGGCCCTCGAAGTAAATGGCAAAGGCAAAGGCAGAGTCTTTAAACAAAGGCAATGTCGCTGAAGGCAAGGGTAACATAGCTGAGATTGAATTCAAAAATTTGTTTATAAATTCCATAAGTGGAACCGTTTCACGGGTTGGACAACTCTCCCCCTTCTAAAATGGATCGTCCCGATTCAATATGAAATTCATTTAATTGATCTCTTAATTCTGTTAAAAAATTTTCTTGGTTAATAGATTTTTCTGGTTCTGGCCGTTGTTTTTTGGTTACAAATAATATGACATTTTTGTATTTTATAATAAGTAAAAAAAATCAAATATATAATTATTAAAATTAATAATATAAAGGTAAGTGATATTTTGGTATTATTAATTTTAATGAAAGGATTTAAAATGTTTATATTATCTAAAGAAAGTTCTGAGTTATTTGATAATATGTTATCGGATATTTCATAATTTTTGAAGTGGTTCGTAGTTAAGTAGTAAAGAATTTTGTTTTCCAAATTGGTATAAGAAATATTATTAATTTCGGTTGTACCATTAAATGTTATCAAAAATGAACCGTTTAAATGAGAGTTGTTCACAATATTGTTACCATTTATAAGAATGGCACCATCTTGTATGATGTCTATTTTTTTATTTTTCTCTCTTATTTTTTTACAAGTGGATTTCTCGCCATTTAATAAGCGGGTAAAACAAGTTTTTTCATTATTTAAAGTGCAATAATTATCAAAAAGTTCGTTCTTAAAGTTAGACATTTCATAAAACATATTTGCGCATTTTGCGACTTGATTGCTTAATACTAGTTTCCCATCGATTTGGGAAATCGCTCTAGCGTAATATATTTCGCATCTGTTTTTTATTATTGGGTATTTTATATAAATTATTACAAGTTCTTTATGCAGTGCGATTTTAAAAACAGAGATGTCCATTAAGTCAGCGATAATTACTGGTTTTTGTTCATGTTTTAATATTTCCATAATGTCATCGTTGTTTAATATTTTGGTATTAAAAACGTCAATTTTTGCTAGTGTGATTGTGTCAATTAAATTTTGCAGATCAAATGTTAATAATCGTAAGCGATGTTTTCGCAGTGGTAAATCTTGATCAATAAAAACATTTTTAAAATCATCAGAAAGAGATTATATTTCTTTAAACAGTTTGGAATTGATAATAAATTGCTTATTATTATTTTCAATTAATTCATCGATTTTATTCTGTATTTTAATAAAATCATCATGATCCGGAGTTCCAGCTAACCATTTCCACACAGTGCCTATCTCATTTATCCCCCTTTTTGACCTAGTTGATATTAATTGGGATAAAATTAATTCGATTACTTCTATGTCATATTTAATTTCCCATTGTGACCTTTTATTAGTATCCCTTTTTATATTATCTGATTCCAATTTTATTATTTCTTTATAAAAACTTAAGTTAGTTACGTGGAATAATTCTGCGTATGAATCGTACGTCAATACGTCTTTATTGTCCTTG